TTTAGATAAGTTAGAGACATCATCTGGTTCCCGTACAATTCATATATTAAAACAATTTTGTCATGTAAAACATTTTAACAACAAATTAATACAAGTATTTTACATGGAATGAGCAATTAAACACTGGTTTGTGTATATGTATGTATATAAAGTTTTATTTCTGAATCTCTATTGTGTTTCTTTTATTTCTGCAATATACTGTTGTTCATTGTTAATCTGATCTAATATACTACATATTTTATATTTGTACTTTATATTTGGACTTAACATAGTTATTTGTATATGATGCAAATTAATACATAGTCACAACACATTTTGCAATAACAGTATATCGAATTAGTTTGGTACACACATTATAAACATGCTTAATTTCACAGAAAATATTCTATGGTTACTCAATTTTGTTTATGAATTTCAATCTAGTTTCTTTCTTTTATTGACAATAGTGTCCTATACACTGTTGTTGGTTGTCACACTGTAGGTTTGTTTATTTGCAGCCATGATTTAATTTTGTTGTTAAAGTCTTTGTGGTTGGTTTTTGGGAATTTAATGTCTTCGGGTTGGTCTGGTTGTATAGTTTAGGTATCAGGTACTCAAGAGTTCTTTTTCTGTAACTGTGGTATGTCAATGGTATTTGGTACTTTGGATTTCTTGTTTTGTACCCATTTGGTGCATCAGTTTTGAATTTATTGGCATTATTGTTCCGAATTATATTGAGGTACATGTAGAATCCTTTTGGTGTTAAAGTGTTTAAGCAAGCTGGCAGCTCACAGTGGCTGAGATTTCTCTTCATGGCCATTATTTTTAATACTTTGGCCTGAATATTTTCCAATTTGCTTAAGAATGTTTGGCATGCACCACCCCAGACTTGCACATCATATCTCAGTAATGATTCGATTAGAGAGGTATATATAATTTTCAATATTTGTTCATTTACAAAAGTCTGAATTGAATACTTACATCCAGCTATCATTTTTACTTTGTTGAACAGGTAATTTGTGTGCAAGTTATATCATAAGTACTATCCAAAACAACTCCTAGATATGAGTAATGTGTTACATAGTCAATCTTGATACATTCATCACTACATCCAATGGTTGTGCAATGATAATCATGCGGAGTTAATTTTCCTAATTTTAAGTTTTTTTCTGTGTTTTGAAATGAATTATTTTGGTTTTCAGGGGATTAGCATACAAGTTGTTTTCATATGATCATTTAACAATGTTAAACAATCATGTTAAATTCTGTTTGTAGTTGGTCTTTACATTTGTTTATATCACTGTTAGAGTTCAAAAGAGCAGCATCATCTGCATACATGTAAAGTTTGCAATTTTCTATGTTTTTAAATATGTTGTTGGCATATATTAAAAATAGCACTGGCCCTAAGCAACTTCCTTGTGGTACTCCATGTCTGATAGCTTTAGGATGACATAAGATATTGTTTATTTTGACTAATATTTTTCTATGCTCTAGATAGCTTTTAAACAATTGTAAAAATCGATCTTGAATGCCTATTTCTTGCAGGCTCTTCAACAAAATTGTGTGACTAACAGTGTCAAATGCCTTGGAGTAGTCAGTGAATGTTGCCATTACCTCCTTTCCTTTATCGAGATTATTATTTATGTAATCTCTGACTTAGATCAGAGCTTCTTCTGTTCCTTTACCTTTATGGAATCCATATTGTTTTGTATGTGTTATATGATTATCATTCATATATTAATTGGGTTTTTGTATTATGTATTTCTCAAATATTTTTTCGAACACAGGGAGGATAGATATAGGACTATAGTTATTGAGATCACTCATATCTCTGTTTTTGTAAATGGGCCTAATGGAGCCTTTAATCCTTCTGGGAATATTCCATTTCTAATGCAGTTGTTTATTAAATTGCTTAATATTCCACTTAGTACATCTGCATTGCTCACAATATCTGTTGTTCTTATTCCATCATTCCCTGGAGCTTTTTTGATGCTAATTTTCTTTTTTATAATTTTGATAGTCTTTTTCATTTGTAGATAATTTATACATAATAATAAAAATAATAAAAATAATAATAATAAAAATAATAAAAATAATAAAAATAATAAAAATAATAATAATAATAACAATAATAATAACAATAATAATAATAATAATAATAATAATAATAATAATAATAAATTAATTTTTTAGTAAGTACTAATCACAGTATTTCATGCAGGGGGAAATGACCCACCCTCTCTGTGTACGTCCTTGCTTAGACACTTGTAGATATGTTAATGGGAACAAATTTTTCACTAGATTTACAATTATCTTAATATTTGATAGATTTTTCTTGTTTATTTTACCTACTATAATACTATAAATGTAATAATTTAAAATTCAAATCATTTGAAATATTTTTAGTTAATTATTACTCTATGCAGTTTGTCTGAGAACATACAAGCCAATCTAGATAGTTTCCATAATTAAAATTTAAAAATTGTGTAAACAAAATCTATTATGTCATGTATATCTACTATGTTATGTTTGAATTTGCTATAGGTGGTGTTAAGACTGTCAATCGTGAAAGCCCACAGCCCTACAAACCTGTGATCCCAAGAGAGCTGGCACAAGACTTTGCTCGTCCTGCTCGACTAGATATTTTGCTGGATATGCCTCCAGCAACTCGTGAATGCCAGATGAAACATGCCTGGAACTCTGAAGATCGATCTCTTAATATATTTGTAAAGGTATATTTTATATTTACTCAGATTTTGAAGAAAGCTGTTAAATTTGGTGTTTCTCTTTTGCAGGGTATTTTTTTAACTAACTCTGCGACTTTTAAGCCTTTACATTTCAACTAATTGAATTATTCTTGAAGACATTCATGTATCTATTGTTTTTACATCTAATGTAATAAAACATTGAAGTGAAGATGCTAAGATGTCATCTCTTGTAATTTCATGAAAATGTTTGCTGAATTTATTTATTTTATTTTTTATTAATTTATTAATGGTGGCAGCAACAAGC